ATGAGATAATATCTTGTGGGTGGAAGAGAGGACAAGATGCTCCCAGTGTTTTACAGTGACCCTAAGCAGAGACAAATTTAAATCTCAAGCTGCTGCTGCTGCTGCAAAGACTTACACACATGCACACATGATGTGCAAGTACGCACGGGGTTTTCATTTAAATCTCGGCTTTGCTTAACTCACCAAACAAGAAATGTGGTCTGTGGCTGTGTGTTGAACATGATAAAGGTTTTAGTTAAAGTAGAAGGAACAATACCCGCCCAGCATCCAGCAGCTGTCTGTGTTGGCTTCATCGTACGAAGTCTAGAGAGGATATAGAGAGGCAGAAACGGGCTAGGCAGCTGGTGCTTTTGTGGTGTTTTTGGTAGCATATAGTTACAATGTCAACCTTCAAATATGACAGTTAGGAATACAGTTATAACGGATATTAGTTTAGGATCGCCGTCAGTTCTTTAGTTTCACAGCACCAAATGAGTACCTTGGTTGACCTTTACATATGCTGCTGCTTGGTTTAGAGTTGGACTGATTATCTAAACTAAAGTCCAAGATGAAGCCATCTTGTTCAGCAGCTCCCCTTTCCTGCAGTTCTTCAGTCCATCTGTCCCACTAACAGCCTTTTAATTGAGAGTCCTCCCCAGTCTGATGCTGGCCATTGCTAACTGTCAGTGTTTATACAATTGGGCTGGGACAGGGACTGTGAGCCAAGCAAAACATCCATGAAACATCAAGCCTCGAGCTAAACAAAACCCAGCAGTGAGAGACGCACACACTTGAGCCAGATAGGGGCTGGAAATGATGCGTTCTGATTGCATCTAGGTTAAGTTGTTGACCACAGTGGTAACGCGACAGCTGGGAGAGAGTTGACTGTTGTTTCGGGTCTAATTGCTGAAGCCTTGTCGGGATTTTCCTCGGCTTGCTGTTTAGCTGTTAAGTTTTCTTGTGATTTATGAAGCCCAACGCACACTCCTCTGTCCTTTTGCTCACAATCGTCGTCTTTAGTTGCGAGCCAAAGAGGAAACCCTGGCGAGACACTAGCACAGTGACTAATGTTGTGTATCTGGCCGGGCCTCAGATAACACAGCCTCCTCCCCCGGCCTGCTGTGACAAATATGTGCGAGTGTAGCGGTGGGATCTGGGCCCAAGCTCGTCCCTGACCCAGCACAGGCCAGACACAGGTTAAACCACGGTCAAATACAATCCAGAGCCACAGAAGCGGAGTTGCAAGTACGTGAGCATCTTAGAGAAGTCTGATGATTTTGTCTTTCTCATTTCCTCTGACAAGCCACACGCACAGGCCAACTCACATCTTGATCTTGTTTTTGATGGCCATCCTTGACACATCCGTCTGCTGCCTCTCACTCTGTAGTCTTTTATCTCATTGTGCGCAATCAGCTTTGATGCAGCCACATGACAAACATTTCTTCTGTTTCACTCCTCTTACATGTTCCAAACTAAATGCGTAACAATGCACAAATTAATACAGAGAAATAACAGGCACTGTGCGTCCCCTCCCTTCCTTTTTCTCCCGTCAGTGCCTCCTCAGTCGAGAGGGGCTTGCTGCTTTAATGCTTCTTAATGCTGTTGTCTGCTTAATGGGCCAGATATGAGAGGTGCTGCTAGCCAGCGTAATAAGTCAGTGATTAGAGGGCGCCTTGTCACAGCAGCAGCCCTGCAGACAGTGGCACGCTCTAATTGCTGTATTAGACGCCCCTTAAGTATCTTGTCAGCTGTCAGACCCCAGCTCGTAAACAGCAGAGGTGCATTTGATATTTCCATTTGTTTGTTTCCATCTTCTGCTGTTAGCGGTGCCGCGCAGAGAGGTAATTAGAAAAAGGCCTGTGCTGTGTGACATCATCGTGCTAAATTTGGCTGCTCTAAATTAGATTTTGTGAGGAGTTTCATAGTTTATGCAGGAAAGTCTTCTGTGGCAAAAGCAGAATAAACTGAAGTGGAATTAAGCCAAAGAATGTACTCAAAAATTAAGATGAAGTGTGCACAACATAACAGGACCACAAAATGATCTGCTTGACTATGTCTATAAAATAGTCAAGCATGCTCGGGAAAGTGTAAAGCAATAATTCAAACTTGAAAAGTCAGAACCTTAAAAAAACATCAATCAGTCATCAAGGATGTTGCTTATTGGGTTTCCACTGATCAAATCTTTTTAGCTCTGAACATAATTGGGGGTCTGACTGTTAAGAAAGCACTTCAGTAGCACTTTTCTTACATTTCACTGTAATCATTGGTTCAACACTAGTTGAACAGGATATCAGTTTAACTAGATAAGAATGTATTAAAGAAAAAATATTCCACTGAAATATAACAATAATTTCAATATTTTTCTTGTAGGCCTGTAGGTGGTTCAGTAGTGTAGTCGTTTACACCTTCACCTAACACGACACCAACCTTTTGGTGCTGCGTCAGAAAGGGAATCTGACATAAACAGGTGGATCAAACTGTGCTACGCACTGTGTTGACCCTTTGTGAATAAGGGAGTAGTCTTGTAATCTAGGCTGCAGGGAACTTATATGTTGGCAACATGGAAATTTGATTAGGAAGTAAAAAAGGGCTGTAAGTGGCTACATGAGCATGGATGTTGCTACAAAGTTGTTACATTAAATCAGGAATTTTATGGAAAACTATTCAAAACATACCACTGAAGAATTCTCCTTTTTTGTCTTTCTATCTGAAAGGTCACGCATTTGACCCTAACTACCTCTGAATGTTTATGAGCTCCTACATCTGGTTAGTATGTGTCCTTGACTAAAGGAACGCTGAACTCGTTTAATGCGCACTGCTCTGGATTAGAACGTCAGCTCAGTGCTTAACTTTTGCTCCGACTGACACACGGCGTGTAATCCTCGCACACTGCGAGGATTGCCATCCCTGCACCTGGAGAGCTTAAAAATGGTGTGAAGTCAAATAATCTCTGTCTCCTGTCTCATTTGGTGTCAAACTGTGAGGTGACATGGTTAGAAGTGGTGTAATTTTGTGTTTAATCTTGGATTAGCCCGTGTTCATTTTGACACCTCCAGTAACTAATCTGGTTTACAACACCTCAGGGCAAGCAAAGGGGGGGATTCTGATAGATTTTATGGTCCCTTAGTTAATTGTGAGTGAGGCGAGTTTTATATCTTGAATTGCAGGATATTGGTCTAATCCGCAGACGGGGTGAATGTTACTTGCAAAGCAAAGAGCAGAAAAATTCTGTCTTTTGCAGCTCGTGCGCTGACCTCAGCTGTGTGATGCAAAGGCCGATCTGCGCCTCTAATCCTTGTCTATCTGAAAGTGCTGATTGCTTCTGATATTGTGAAATATAGGCTGGTGGCACAGAGATGGACTCCAACCTACGACCCACAAAACTGTTCTACCATTACCTTGTAAAAATTACATTGAGACAGTATGAGATAACATATTCAGTGCAGACAATAAATTCATAAAGTTTAGTGTGCTGATAAGTAAAGTTTGGTCTATGAACTAGCAGTTAGCTTTATATTGTCTTCCTCTTTTTTTTTTGTCTCTGACAGACACCCACAGGTATGTCTGCATTTTGATCTGACAAGCTTCTGCATCATTTGAAATTCCCCATCAGAGTAAATACGCAGCAGCTCGCTGCAGTCCCTTTGTACCTTCCAGCCAATGTGCCGCATTAAGAACACCTGACATATTTTCTTTGCAATACTTTTAATTACAGATTTTTCTTCTTATCATTTTAAAGAAAGAACACATAGGAAGAATATCCTCAGCATTTCGGCACAGACCCGCCGCCATACTGAATGTAAAATATTTTATTCTATTTCTATTAACTTGTAAACTCTGTAAATATAAAATGTGCAGAATTTGTGAAGCAGTGAGAAGATTTCTGATCTGCACTTGCAGTTCAATGGATGATGGTAATGAGTCTGAGAGACCAAACGAGGTAATGCATTTAATTTATCCCTTAATCATTATTATTATTATTATTCTTACTTTTTTTATGCATCACCAGCATAAACAGTGACTGCCTCATGGAGTAGGAAGCTATCAACTTGCACACAACAGCCAACATTACATTAAAGTAAAAAAATAAAATAAAATACATATTTGATTAAAAACAAAGAAAACTTTGGATGTCATGAGTGTTTTCTTCCCATAAGACATTTTGCTGCACTGATCCTCCTACAGCTTTTGATTCCCCTCAGGCAGTTTAGGTTGGTGTTAGGATCTTTATTCATCATTTCATATAGATAATGTAAAAAAAAATGTCTGATAAACACAAGGCTGACAATTCCTATTAAAGATTCTTATTTCTAATTAATTTTCTTGCCTTCTTGCTTCCCCGTGCCAGCCTGACCTTTACAGCTTGCAGCTGTTGTACTCTTCTGGGTGATGAAGTTGCATTCATTTATACAATTTTTGCGATATTGAACAATCAGACTCATATATGTGATCAAGTGAACACCTTTAAAATCTAACAGGACATTGTCTTGTCTGTTTTGTTTTGTTTTTTATGGGGAGGTTAAGCCTCAGAAGACGATGTGTTGCACTGCACTGAGTCGGCCTTGTCAAGTCTGGACACTTAACCTCTCCCTACTAAAAGCTTTCTGGGGTCAGACTAAGTGCAACTCCAGTGTTGAGTAATGGAGCCTCAGTCAAAACAAGTTACATTTCTATGTTTTCAGGAAGCAAAGCCCTTTGTTGGGTCACGTGATCTCAGGATTCTTACTGTATACGGAGAGGTGGAGTCGCACTATGGAATCAAAAAGTAGTTGGATATGTAGGATCCGGTCTTTATCTCGCTGTTGTCACATTTTAAAGAAACAGTCAAAGCATTATGTTCAGTATGTGATGAGCTTTGAGCTTTTGCTGACCTGCAGCAGTCTTCTTAAACTTCTTTCTTTTTTTTTCAGTTCACAGCTGTTAGCTGAAAGCTGCTCTCTGTTAGTCTTGCTCCATTATCTCTCCTTTTTACCCAAACTGTAATTGATTTGGATTTCTTCTTTTCTTGTGTGTTTCCACAGGCCATTCGCTGCACACTGGTGAACTGCACGTGTGAGTGTTTCCAGCCAGGGAAGATTCACCTACGAACATGTGACCAGTGCAAACATGGCTGGGTAGCTCATGGTGAGAAAATCACATGACCATAAATCATTAAGGTTGTTGTTGTATCTACCAAAATTAGTTATTGAAATAATGAATAGATTCATCCTTTAGGGTTTTCATAAAACTACTTTATGTTTCTATATAGCTGGGCTCTATATAGAAATTATCATAGTACAACTAATATTATCTGTGTTCTGTTAACTTTACTAAAACTGTACTAAAATCCAAATGATTTTTGCTAATTTTCCACAGTAAAAGTAACTTTGCGGTTCGTTTGCTTCTGGTTTTTTTGTTTGTTTGTTTTTTTTGCTTTCAAAGACTCTTGTTTTTGCATCTTAGATCAAAAAAAAGAAAGAAAAACTCTACAGCCGCAAGAGAGATAGAGTAGCAAGAGACCACACCTTATGAGTTTTTCAAGCGGGTAAAAGAAAAAGGGAGAGGAGGCAAGAAAGTACAAAGAGAAGAAGGAGGGTGTGGGGGGGGTGAAGATAAAAGAAAACACCTGTTTGGCTTGCGTCCGCAGAAGCGCAGGCCATGGGCCCTTCAGCAGATCGCACAGGACCCCATTGACTATTTTTTAATCTCTCCCTCTGAACTGTCAAGCACCCATCTCTCCTCTCCCCCACTTTTCATTTCATGTCGGCATTGGCAGGGACTCTGACAAGTAGTTCTTCATTTTTTATTATGTTCGTGTCTGGCTGTGCTGTGTTGTCAGGCAAAGCCCTCGTCAGCAGGAAAAAAAAAAAAA